CGCACAGGGTGGAGCCGAACATTGCCTGAGGAGGCTGTTTTGCAGTTCGGACAGACCCCTAGATCTCCGACTTCGGTAGCCTAAGGGACTCCAAGTGCGTCCCGGTTGCCTCTCAGTGCCTTACCGAGCTGTTGTTGAGACATACTTCACTGATATGTATCTGTACTCTATGAGCATGCTGCGATGAAAGTTGGGGTGCCTGCTGTCGTGCGCGGCAACCCCAACATGAGTTCCGAGCGTACGGGAGGGGAGGGGAGGGGAGAGGAGAGCAGGGGAGGGGAGGAGAGGAGGGGAGTGGAGAACAAGAAAGAGAAGGGAGAGGCAAACCCATGGAGAGCAGAGGTAGACGCGTGGTCCAGGGAGCTACTGGGGTCTCCTGGAAGGGGGGACGGGCAGTGGCTGCCTCAGGACCCAGCAGCCCCTCGGGGCCCAGGACACTTCCTGGAAGTGGACAGAGATGAGGGCTGCGCGCCTTGGGACTACATTAGACGGGGAAGCGCCCAGCATTCGAATTCTGCCTCGACTTTCTTAAAAGCCACGTGCGACCTTGGGTCACTGTCAGCCGTCTCCAAATCCGATTCCACTCCTCCCTCACCTCTGGAGGGGATCTGTGCTGGGGGCGGGGCCTGGCTTTGGTCGCAGTGCCTCCCTGGAGACAGGTGCACATTGTTGAATTAATGCAAAGATCAGCAGCAGTGCTGTGAGTCTCGCGTGCCCCATCATCAGCTTCTGCTCCTGGAAGACAAGCCACGTGCCCTTAAGCAGAGGCGCGTGGAGGTGGAAGTGGGCGGGAAGCAGCAGAGACGGACGGAGGACGCCCTGGAGACGGCTCCAGGGTCGACTCCCGGGCAGCACTCGGAGCCCCTGAGCCGGTAGCTGTGTGCGGGCCTCGGTGTGGAGCTGGGGAGGAAGACCAGCACCTTAACACCAGCAGCAGACGAAACCCAAGAACAAGCGCCGCAGACGCACCGCCACTGCAAACGCAGCTACCGCCGGACTCAGGTACAGGCGACCCCAGCGGCGCCACCACGCTCGGACGTCCAGGATTGACAGTGAGGGGCAGCCGCTCCAGCGCCCGAGAGTGACCGCCCGGCTGCAGATGGGAGCGCTGGAAACCTCGCCGCCGTCACTAGGTCTGCACGGTGACCGCGACTCGGCGGGGACTGCCACTCTGCTGCGTCCCCCTCTCCGAGCCGGCGACGGACGCAGCCGAGGTGTGTGTGTGTGTGTGCACACCCGGTTCAGGCTTGGACAAAGCAGACCACGACTCGCCTCTCAAAATCTCCCTACTGGTGTCATCAGCGAAGGTAACAATTTTAAAATAACTGAAAAATAATGATCAAATCTGTGCACCTGTAAGATAAAATTCCAGACTTCTTCAAAGCCTGGCGGCTGAGAGCGTGATGCGTTTCACTGCCGCGGCGTCCACAGTCTCTCCTGTGGCTCCTGCTGGGCGGGGGGAAGCAGGCTCAATTTCTATTCTCATTCACACTTTACCAGCAGGCAGCCGGATGAGAAGCCAAACTGGTTTGAAGAGGATGAGGACGTCCCAGCGCCTGCAATGCTGACACCGTGCAGCCCTCCGGGGGCTTCATACGTGTGTGTCTTCATACGGAGACGTCTCCTACATGTGTGTCCATCTGCCGGAACGCCTGAGGCTCAGCCCGAGGCCTTGACAAGGTCAAGGTTATAGAATCTCTGGTCTAGCCCTCATCAACTTTGGATGCATAAAGAAATCTGAAGTTCTTTCTAGGAAGTTCTTTAAGGATGAAACTCGTATCAGTCACTTGCTGTGCCAAAGCTTCACCAGGTCCTTTCCAGACAAGCCTGTCACCGTCACCCCCTTTCCCACGAGGACCCCGAAACTCACTCAAGTTGTGCAACTGCACCAGGACCAAGCAGAGAGAACCTTACGGACCGGGACTCATATTCTGGCTCCGACTCTGCAGCCCGACCCCTTCAGCCCCGCTCTGCCACCTCTGGTCTCCGCCGAAGCGTTTCATCACAATTAACTACTTAGGGAAAGATCATTTGTCAAAGAAAAAAATCAGATTTTCTGTGGGACACCTGTCAGCCTCACTGAAATTGACTGACGGTACAAGAGTGACTCTCGGCTGGCGCCGCGGCTCACTAGGCTAATCCTCCGCCTGCGGCTCCGGCACACCGGATTCTAGTCCCGGTCGGGGTGCCGGATTCTGTCCCGGCTGCTCCTCTTCCAGTCCAGCTCTCTGCTGTGGCCTGGGAAGGCAGTGGAGGATAGCCCAAGTGCTTGGGCCCTGCACCCGCATGGGAGACCAGGAGAAGCACCTGGCTCCTGGCTTCAGATCAACGTGGTGCGCCAGCTGCAGCAGCCATTGGAGGGTGAACCAACAGCAAAGGAAGACCTTTCTCTCTGTATCTCTCTCTCTCTCACTGTCCACTCTGCCTGTCACAAAAAAAAGAAAGGAAGGAAGGAAGGAAGGAAGGAAGGAAGGAGGGTGGCTACTTCCATTTAATGGAATCCCATGTCATCAAATTGTTAAAGCCAGAGCACTGCTATCAGACAAGAGAGCTCTCGTTGCTTCCTTCCAAGCTTATTTATCTTCTGGATTGTTCCAACTCCCCGGCTGAAGGAAGCCACCTTTGATGTAAGAGGTGATCGTGGAAGTCATGAAGCCGTCACACTCCAAGCAGGTGTTCACACCGCAGACCCTACAAAGACCCCAGAAGGACGCACCCTCTGCGTGCTGCCCGGAGACGGACGCACCCCTGCGTGCTGCCTGGAGACAGCCGAGCCGGCACACGCAGGAACCACAGCCGAGCTCCAGCATCCTGCAGCCGCCCAGCTCCGCGCGGTCAAAGCAGGAGGGAGGCGGGCGTCGGCGCCAGCGGAGCCGTCACCTGGCGCTCACATGCTGCTGCCCGCCACGGCAAGCCCCGGCCAGCCTGCACACGGAGAAACTGAGGCACAGAGCAGTTCAGGAGGCCACTCCGTGGTCCACGCCACGCATGTGGCTGCCGGCAGGTGTGCAGTCACTCTGAATCACGGCGCCAACTCCGTGTGGGGCCAGGACCTTGCGTCTTTCAAACGTCTTGCTACAGATGGCCACAGAAACAAGCACACGGATGTCATCTCAGAGCCCAAACACGACACCGTCACTCAGGCGGCGCAAGGACACCGCCCCACTGCTTGGGGAGTGACCGGCGGAACAAACACTAACCAAAGAGCACGGTGCTTAGCTTCAGAGAAGGCCCCGGCGCCCGTGGGAACCGCCTCTGGATGGGACCAAGGCCACAGTGCAGCCAAGGTCTGTGTGGCCGCACCCCAGCCCCCGCCCCAGGACAGGCCCCACGAAGGCAGGACCACGTCCATCCTACGCACAGGGACACATCCACGTGCCTAAAACACAGTGGCACCCAAATACTTCTGGGAGGAACGAATAAGGAGGAGACACAGGTAGACAATGTGGCTCGATCCAAGAAGGAAGATCGAGGTACGGGAGAGTCGCAAATGTCCATCTACCAGGATACACTCGTGATCCGAGACACGGTAAGCATGGAGACAGAGATCCAGGAAGTAATAAGGAAACCCAAGCTTGCCCCGACCTCGGCCAAGCATCAGCGCACCCTAAAGGTCCTGACAAGTGCCGGGACCCCCCGGTGCTCACCCTGTGCGGCGGCCCCTGCTCTGCGGAAGACCTGCCTCTGCAGCTCTGAGCTGGCCCGTGGGCTCCCAGGGAAGCTGTCTGCCCGGGGGAGGGGGTCCTGTGTGTGCCTAGCCAGTATCTGTCGCTGGGCACACAGCAGGTGTATTGGTCCAGCTTACAAATGGGCAGGACAGGGCCCCCTGGGGACAGTAGAGGCCATGACACTCTCCAGGGCAGGCCGCCCGTGCTCACCATGAGCTGCTGGGCCTCGTGCCACTCCCAGCCACCCTGCTCCCTGCTCCTGGAGTGCCGGAGCCTGGTCACAGCAGCGCTGGGGCAGAACCACTTAGGAAGTCTGTCCTTCAAGAATTTAAAGAGATGGGGGCCGGCGCTGTGGCACAGGGGTAAAGCCGCTGCCTGCAGTGCCGGCATCCCATATGGGCACAGGTTGGAGTCCCGGCTGCTCCTCTTCTGACCCAGCTCTCTGCTGTGGCCTGGGAAAGCAGTGGAAGATGGCCCAAGTCCTCGGGCCCCTGCACCTGTGTGGGAGACCTGGAAGAAGCTCCTGGCTCTGGATCAGCCCGGCTCCAGGCTGTCTGTATCTCCTGGCTCAAGATCGGCACAGTCCAGGCTGTCTGTGTGCCTCCTGGCTCCGGATCAGCCCGGCTCCAGGCTGTCTGTGTTTCCTGGCTCAGGATTGGCCCAGCTCCAGGCTGTCTGTGTCTCCTGGCTCCGGATCGGCATGGCTCCAGGCCGTCTGTGTCTCCTGGCTCAGGATCCGCCCAGCTCCAGGCTGTCTGTGTGTCTCCTGGCTCCGGATTGGCCCGGCTCCAGGCTCTCTGTGTCTCCTGGCTCCGGATCGGCCCGGCTCCAGGCTGTCTGTGTCTCCACGGCTGCCAGCAGCCTGCGGGTCCCTGAAGAGCTCACAACAGAGAAAATCTCACAAAGCAGGCCGAGCTCAGCCTGGCGTTCGTGTTCTTCTCTGAAAGGTGCTCCCGTGGCCCTCCGTCTGCCGTGCATACGCACGCTTTGTGAACTCGCAAACCCCAGCTGCTCGTGCGGAAGCTGTCACGGCTTGTGCTCTGTGCACAGCGGCCCCCCGGCGCCTCTGTGAAGTCAGTCCCCCTTCAAAGGCAGGATCACACGCCTCGGACAGAACACAACCATAAAAATAACGCCGGCGAGAGAGAACCAGATCTTCAGACTCCTGGGTAGCGCTGCCGCCAGCCCCTGGTTTCTCAAACAACCGTGTCACTTAAACAGAAAGAGAATTCAAACATCTACTAATAGCGGTTTTGCCACTACGGACCCTAACGGTAATTAGTACATCAAGGATTGTGTGTTTATCTTCAAGAGACTGGCACTAGTGCAGCCCACTGCACAAGAAGGTGTATTGGCTGTGAGTGTGTGTAGGTGTGTGTGCCCACGTGGGCAACGCATGCACACATGTGAGCATGTGTTGTATGTGTGAAGGTATGTGTGCACACATGTGCGGGTGCCTCCGTTCATGTAACAGCGTGTGTGCATGCAGAAGTGTGTGTTCATGAGTGTGTGGGCATGCCAGCACCTACACGTTTGTATGAGTGAAGCTGTGTGCATGTACTTTTGTGTGCACGTGCGAGTGCATGGACACGGATGTGTGCGTGTGTACACGTGTGGGCTGTGCATGTGAGTGCATGTGTGTGGCTGCATGTGCACACGTGTCTGAGCAAGCACTGCACGTGACTGCACATACACTGTGCGTGTGTCAGTGCCCGTACACGGTGTGCGGTGTCGCGAGGTCTGAGGGGCGATTCGCTGTCCTCCTGGACCAGAACCCAAGACCAGCACACGGGGAAGCAGGCAAGACAAGCAAAGAGTGCTAGGGGGCGCTCCTAGACCACTGACTGCGCAGTCTATCCGAAGACCACGTGACTGCTCCGCTCCTTGGGCCGTGGGCGGCGCTCCTGCTGGGCGGGGCCCCTGTGCAGCACCGCAGACCACGTGACTGCGCAGCGTCTCCGGCACATTCCCTCCCGTGAGACGCAGGCCTGAGTGTGGCCACAGGGCGGGTTTGGTCCTTGAGGTGGGAGCGGCCATCACGTGGCTGGCCGCACGGTCCCCTAGCCCCGCCGCCCGGAGGATGGCCAAGGGCGTTTCCAAGCCTGCGTGGCCGCACCGCCCACCGCTGCCAAGTATCTCATGTCCTAGTGGCCGCCCTCCTCTGAGGCGCCGAGCGAGCGGTCGGAAGGACCCGGGACCTGGTCGTGACGTCATGACGGGCGAAGCGACGTCATGGCCTCGCAGGCGGCTGAGGGCGCGGACAGGACGCGGGCGCGGGCTCGCCAGACTCACCTCAGGGCCCACGATGAGGAAGAAAACGCTCGGGTCCTCCCGGTGCCACTCTGGGGGAGGAACCAGAACGCGAGGCTTCAGGTCACAGCTGCAACGCATCCAAACCCCGCATGAACGACTCGGTCCCCGCCAACTTAACCCGCACTCGTCAGGAACCCGCACATTGCACGCTTGTGTGTGAGGGCGCTGCATCACCTGCACTTCTCGACTGTTCCACAACCGTAACTCAGGACACTTTCTAGAATATTCCGCAGAGCATGGGCTGCCTCAAGCAATGGCGCAGACGCATCAAGCAAAGGGGCCCGTGTGACAGTCTTCATAGAAACGCTTTCGCCCCAGAATTCTCTCGGCACTGCGACGTGCCCGAGCGCCCGTGGGGAGCCCCGTGAACGGAGGACGTACCTGAGAAGGCGTCCACCAAGTACAGGGGGTCCTTGACTCGCCGAAGCCCGCAGATGAGCAGGAACACGTGCAGGTCGTCAGCACTCCGGTTTATGTCTGCAACACAGGCGGCCTGGGCGTCGGGGAGGGCTCAGACCCCGGCCGGCGGCCCAGCAGGGGCCCCTCGCCCACTGCACCTGGTGTCCTCGCTCTGAAGCCACCCCCGTCCTGGGCATGGACCTGCGCTCTGCCGGCCGGCATCTGCCTCTGCTGCCGTGAGCGGAGGATGCCTGGGTCCGACAAAATAGGAGCCAGAGGGCCGAGAGAACATGGCGCCCCAGCTAGGGAAAATATCCTTGGGGTCGTTATGAGAGAGAGAGAGAGAGAGAGAGAGAATCTGACAGGGCTCCCATCTGCTGGTCCACTCGCCAAATGCCCGCGGCAACCGTGCCTGGGCCAGGCTGAAGTCAGGAGCCAGGGGCTCCCATCCGCTGGTCCACTCGCCAAATGCCCGCGGCAACCGTGCCTGGGCCAGGCTGAAGTCAGGAGCCAGGGGCTCCCATCCGCTGGTCCACTCGCCAAATGCCCGCGGCAACCGTGCCTGGGCCAGGCTGAAGTCAGGAGCCAGGGGCTTCACCCAGGAACCTGCTGCCTTCCAGGGTGTGCACCGCAGGAAGCTGGAATAGAGGCAGAGCTGGGACTCGAACCCAGGCCCTCTGATGCAAGGTGTGGGTGTCCGTGCAGGCCTAGCCACTGTGCCAAACACTGGCCCCTCCGTGTCTAAAGTGCTCAGCACCAACACGCTCAGTTGCGCGTGAGAATCCTGACCTAGAAGACCCCAGCGGGAGCCAGGGTGGCCCTGGACTCTGTGCCCTGTGTCTCTCATCTTCCGGGGTCGGCTGCCGATGACAGGACGTGGGAGGCTGACTTAGGACGCTGGCCGAGAGGGGGTGGAGGGCTGACTTAGGACGCTGGCCGAGGGGGGTGGGGTGGAGGGCTGACTTAGGACGCTGACCGAGAGGGGTGGGGTGGAGGCTGACTTAGGACGCTGG